ATGACAAATAATTGTTGTTATCTTTGAACAACTCAGCTTGAAATAGTAAAAGTCACAAACTTTCTTCTTGCATGAATTGACCTGTTAATATATTGTGCCAAATAAATTCAGTATTTTTAACTAGATTTATAGATATAAATGTTGACACATTTTTCAATACATTTTCATTGTACTAACTTTTTCTAAATTTGTTATTGTTTATTAATGGTTTATTGTTTATAAATCATTAAATTGTGTATAATTATATTATTAGTATTATGTATTGTATTATAGAGATTTAAATATTTAATATTAAAAATATATATTAAAAAACACAGATCTGATCTCATAATATTTAAAAAATATTTTATTTATCAAATAGAGGCATTTAATAATGTATCTTGGACTATAAAACGTGAAAAATATTTTATAAATATTTATACATATAGTAGAAATTTGATTGTTCAAGAGTTCTGTGATTATAATTTTTTAAACAGAATTGGAGAAAGAATATTTAAAAATAAATATGTTAATTGCATTTATTACGTTTAAATAATATTTTATCTGAATTATTTTAATTCAAATCACATTATATTCAAATCATTTTATTTAGTTTCTCTCTCTCTCTCTCTCTCTCGTTATATTAAGCAGTGAGGTGTTATTTTATTTGTTACAATGATCTTTTTTTCGGCAATAAGAGTCAGGTACATAAACTACTTCATAGAACTATTTGATCTCTCTATTGTATAATTATAGTGCCAATTTATTTGTAAAAATATAGATATATATATATATGTATCCGTCTGTTATAGCAAATATTAATAAAGCACTGTTGTTCATAAAAAGTTAAAATCCGTGTTCTCTTATTCGTTCAGTTTTAAGTAACTGTTCTTATGTCTTTAGGTGGAGTTAGTACCGGCGGTTCTCGCACAAAGCTGAGCAATTTTTCTAATTTCATAGATTCTAATTCCATATGCGACAAATGTAATTGCTTCTTCGTTGGTTTCACTTTTATCCGTAAATTTGGAGAGAGTTTCAGTGTACTCACGGTACCTCTGCGAAATTAAATATTGAGTAAACGATTATTACAAATGACATATTTTTAAGATTATACAAGTTTTTTTTTAATTAAATAAATAATATTCACTTATCGTCGCCAACTATGATAAACGGCAAAGCGTTATTAAAAGCTAATCGGGTCAGTTTGTTTTTTCGTTTACTGACGACTTGCTGACTGCAGATTGGTCTGTATTTGTTAACATTCAAATCAAACACGGTAACTTTGCCATCGTTTGATACGCAAGCCAACACCGTAGAGCTGTACGGTGCCCATTGAACGTCTCCAATTGGAACACCCAGATCAAACATGAACAAAGGTTCTCTACGTACAGAATATTAATATAATAAAATTTGTGTAATTATAAAGATGAAGACTTACGGTCTTTCGTCTTCCCAGATCTTGATTCGCCAGTCGCCTGAACAGCTGGCGAAAATGCTAGAATTATACTTGTTGAATACTATTCGATACACTGGCATGGTGTGTGCTTCGTGATACGTCCTCATGTAAATGCTGCTGTACGCTGTATTGCATTTGTACATGGTACCCTCCTCTGTGCCCACCAGGAAGACATTCTGATCGGCGGGATGAAATGCAATGCACGTTCCACATCCTAGATTTAAACGGTTTGCATAATTATTACGAGACGTAATGATCTTCCTTTTATCATTACCTTTCAACGTAATCATCGTGCCATCTGGTCCCGGTATAGGTGGTTGATCCAGAAATAAAGTCATAATGGTGGTGAGACCGAGATCGTTCTGGTTTAATACCCAGTGATTTATTTTACCGTCGATACTAACGCTAAAGAACGCCAGATTTCCCTCCTCTGTATCAGGCGCCCAACGAATCTGTAATCAGTACATATATTTTTTAAATTTTGTTGAAAGTTTTTCTCATGAATGAAATTCTCAGTTTTGTCATAAAGTATTAGAGTTAAAATATTCAACAGACCTCCCATACTAACCCCCCATGCTTCTGCACAACGTCATTGCTTTTGTATTGCGGTGTGGATGGTGGTAACATTATGTTATAAACCGCCACTGCTCCGTCCATGGTACCTTAGTTAATAAATTAATGTTAGCATACAGTAATGACATAACAATCACTTTAGAAACTAGATTACACACTAGTGTAAACATTTCATTAAGATTTTCATTTTTAAAATTTATACTTCTAAATAAATATCTTTATAATGCAATTAAATATTTGGAATGGTATTATTTCACACCAATAACTAAAAGATGAGGATGTTGGGCATTAAAGTCTAGGCACATCACGGGAGATTCTGTCGGACAAATCCATTCTGGATACGATGGATTCTTCAAGCTGAATAAGCAGACTGTGCCGTTTGTTATTGGACTATTAAATGATACTAGAATACATATATTATAATTCTTATTTGTAACTTAAATATTATAAAAATTAAAAAAATATGCATATTCTACTAACGTGATCCAAAGGCGACTGCAAAGAGATCGTAATATCTACTATTAAAGCACATGTCCGTAATATCATGTTTCTTAGTCTTTTCATAAGAAAATTTCCATAGAGGTAATAAGGAGCCTTCGCCTTCCTTGAATTCATCGCTCGGATCATCCCAATATCTATAATCTAACAACAATTAAAGAAATGTATACTTGAGACTGAGGTTTCATCGAAGAAAGGATCAAAAGTCTACCTTGCGATATATCGTCAAAAATGTTTTGATTCACCATTCGCTCTAATGTTTTTGCAGCTTGTAACATTCTGTTTGTCATTGCTGAAGATTCCAGTTGGGCTTTTTTCTTCACATCTTCTTTCTTTGGTTGTGCCAACGGGGCTTTCTTCTCTTTTTCCTTTTCGCGTTGTTGTTGAGCATAGTCTTCCTGTTGACAAAATAAAGAAGGTCAGACTTCTGTATAATATTTCTATGTTTATATCTTTTAAATAAAAATGTTATTTTGCAAAATAACATGGTGAGTGTAATATCAAGTGACGCATTTATAATATTCCGTTAGAAATAAAATAATTTATTAATAATTAATTACAAGAGAACTTTTTGTACCTGATATTCGTCAAAGATAGTCCATTGAAAAACATTGGCATTGAAAGTCGCAGTAGGCGGAGGTATAGTTTGTGTACTCATATCCTGCAAGGTTTATTTGATTTATTTTCTATATCTAAGCAAGAGTTTATAATGTTTAAATATGTTTAATACATAGAAGGGAACATAGTATACATGCCCTCATAGGATTATCATATGTCAACGCTGCTCTCTCACAGAAGTTGAATTGATTAGGTATTTTCTTGGGCTTTATCTTTTCTATTTCATCTTCCTCTGGTTCCGGCTCAGCTTCTAACTCGTGTTCACGTTCAGCCTCAGCTAGCGCTTCTACCGTTTTGTCTATTTCTTCTACTGTTCTTATGGAATATGTAATTTATCAAATGTGTGATTTGTTAAGTCACGTGTAACTATCAATGTTTTCTATACTTACCTTCTTCTTCTTCTTCATACTCTGCTTCTTCTTCCGCTTCATCACGCTTTAATTTCTCATCTGTTGTCTCCTCTTGATCCTCAACTACATGTGAAATTACAATTATGTGAATACATGATTATTTTATATATATAAGAATTTAAACTATTAAGTTTACATATTCTTCTGTTATAATTATTTCATCTAACATATATTTAATTATTGCAATAAATAAAGAGACTTTACCAAGAGTTCCTCCTGCCAATTGTAGTTTGGCTTCTTCAGAGTCTTTGTGTAGTATAGTGCCAGTTACATTCAGAAGAGTTACTAAATGTGGTGGAGGAGGTAATCTTACAAATTGACGTAATTTCCATGACCATTCGACTAAGGAATCTGGTACCCTGGTATTATGTATAGTTAGCACTCTGGCGAATTCCTCTTGTAATTCCTAGCATAATATTCGAAATTAGATACAGAACTATTCAATAGCAAAATTAAGAGAGACATTAGACATACTGCTTCTGTTAACTGCAATTGATCATCTGGTCTCAACAAAACCTTTCCTCGCATCCAATCCATATCACCAGCACCTAAATCTTGTCGCGACATGTAACTCTTCGCTAAAGATAAATGCTGTAAAATTTTGATTTTTTAATTTTCTTTATATATAATATGATGATTTATTTTTTTTATTTATTATGTTATAATGATAAATATGTACCTCTTTACTTGTCTCCGTTACTTTTGAAAGCATCTTTTTAGGTATTGTCGGTGCCATTGTTTTCTTTGTATCAAAGCAATCGCAACACTCTCTGGCAATTGATCAGTTGAAACTGGATTACTTTTCTCTTCGTATTTCGTTACAAATATGAATATTGTATTCAGTTGTATGCTTTCTTTTTAATATACAGTGTAATTTACTATTAATGATGAAGAGGCAAACTCTATTCTACTAGGCACTGCTCTGCTTGTTCTTATCAAAATAGTCTATTTTATAAATCAAGAATATTATTTTTTAATCATTTGTAACACGATTATGATAAAATATATAAAGATATAATAAATAAAAATTTTAAACACCCTTTTCTGATATATCATTCAACACTGAGAAGTCTGTTACAGTTTCCTAGGATACGCCAGCCTTTGATAGTATTGTCAATCTGATCTATATGATTTTAATTTGAAATAAAATGTTCCCATGCTCTAATCTTCAGATATCGAATCTTTTTTTCTTTGACAGTAAATTTACAACTTTGTTTTACATTTTTATACATTTTATTCTACATATATTTAATATAGAAATTTTATATAGTTTTGGATACAGTTTCTGATTTAATACATGTATACATATGTACATACATACATACATGTAATAACATGTTATACGATTGTCAAACATAACTAGCATAATTCAATTCGTATGAATTATGTAGTCATGCTAGTTTTTTTCTGTCGCAACCAGAACAAGCATGCTTTTCTCGTTGGGGTTATCCTACGGAGAAAATCAATAATGGACTATACCACGTAATGTGAGCACTCCAACAAGTTGTAGGACGATTATTGCATAAAATCTTATTTTTTATAATTTGTAAAATATTAGTTTATGCAATTCTCATAACAAGAAGTGACTAGGAGTGACATATTATGTTGTTAAGTTTTGAAAAACTCAAAATGATACATAAAAGCTGTGTGACATATCAGACATATGTATTCAACCTCTTTATTGTTTGACTGAATACCAGCATTTGTTAATTACAGTGGTGTTGTTAATCGTAATGTGTTTTATACTTATAACATTTCAGTTTTTTTATTGATTTTTTTTAACGTTTGATCAGCTTTAGTAAGGCAAAATAAAATAATGTAGATGTTTCTTTCTGTTTCAGATGAATTAAAAGAAGCCTCTATATTTCTAAATGTTTTGAATCATGGAAGATAGCGGTATTGATAGTGATCCCAAAGCTGTTAATCACGTTGAAGATGAAAGACTCTTCTTGGTAAATACCCATCCTGATAAACTGACAGATGCTTATTATTACACTTTTCTAATAGAGTAATATATAAAACTATAATATATAATTGTGAGATAAAAATAATAATTTATAAACAAGATAAAAATTATTTAATGATATAAAAAGGTCTTAATCTTTTGTAGGGTAGTGATAGCAGTTGTAGCAGTAATAACACACAGGTTTCTCAACGCAATACAACGAAACAGCTGCAAAAGAAACTTGGTACTGAAATAAGCTTTTAATTTCTTATAATATTTTTATTTCAACATTGCTTTTGCAATAATTAGTATAACTTAGTGTTGCTTTGTTGTAATTATGTATGCAATAATGTTGTTCTACAGAGATACGCATTGAACAGGCGAAGCGAATCCAGCGCAACTCAGATTACATAAAACTTCCAAAACATGACAATGAAAATGCAAGCAGTTCTGCCGGATTGATATCAATACAAAGATTGCCTATACCACGTAAAAATAAGGAACATCTTCCTTTAGTTGAATACTGGCACAGCGAAAGTGAAAGGTATTAAACAATCATATATATAAAGAATTGTACAATCATATATGTAAAAAATTGTATCATATATATAAAGAATTATACATATATATAAAGAATTGTCAGATGATATTGACACATTATATTATATTTGAAAGTTAAATAATGTTAAGTGAAATTCGACCAAAAATTGTTCAACACATGAAGAAGACCACATTCTGTCAAAGCAAATCTTAATGTCTAATAATATTTTTGTGTGAATCTTACACAGTTTCCAGTTTAAGCAAATTGCAATAAATTCTTTACAGTGTTTTAAAAATGCTCATTAGTATCAATATTATTAAATTGCTTGTTAATTTGATCTGTGATATTACTCCACCTTCAGTTCAGGATTATGTTTTAAGAGCGACAAATAACCGGCACGCCAGTTTGCTTGAATTGAAAATTTAAAAAATTTTACATAAAAATATTATTGAGCATCAAGACCTGCTTTGATCGAATATGACCTTTTTTGCTTATTTGTGTTTAAAAGTTTATTTTTTCTGTTACATAATATATTATCCTTTAATTAAAAATAGCAATATGTATTTCGATTATTTTTCACAACTGTAAAGAAAACATTTGTATATGATTAAGTTTAATCAATGAATTCTATTTGCTATATGACTAGTGAGGATGAAATGACTCTCTTTCCGACGAAATCGAAGGATTCCTCAAAGCACAAACAAGATCTCACAGACACGTTTAGCATCGGGGAATTAAGCGACGAAAGCGAGGACTCTTTGAACCTGGACCCAGCGCAACCACCACGCCCTTTCATACGAACTTACGTGCCTACTGGGTGTTTTGCTTGTCATTGCCATATATTATAATGTAATATAGTTTGCATACTGGACTGATCTCATTCAAACTGATTGATTTTTATTTAAGTATCAATATGTCATTGAAAACATATTTAGAAAGATATTACATTTTTGCTAAATAGTTATGTTTCCGCCAAGTTTATTTTGAGTTACGGAATCAATTTGTTGTATCATATTTATTAAATCATCATTGTTTACAGAGAATGTGCTTGAATTATTAAAATTATTTTATTAAACCGTTGTCTATTAATTTTTTATCGTTATTGTTATTCAATATTCAAGGATCGACCATCCTGCGAAGAAGCAGGATTGCGACGTTTGAATAAAAGGATTAATCGATTCAATGAATGCAACAATTTGTTGGGGACAACGCTTTCTTCTTCGTGACCGAAGCAATTATTGTTAAGGATATTATTCAAACGGTGTTTCTCAACGTTCACTAGCCATCGGTAACGCTCACGATATCTATTTTGCATGATATAGCAGCAGGTAATATCCGTTAGGTTTTATAGCAGCGCATTGCTCAAGTACATTCGATTGAATTGACAAATTAATCAATGAAGCATCAACTTAGTCTCTATTTTCATTTAAATAAAATTTCATACGTAGTTGATATATAATTTTGATTAGGAAAATAAATTGTAAAAAACATTCGCGTATATTCAGAAATGATCTATTTAGATACTTTTTTTATTCTTGTTTATTAAGTAATCGTACAAATTTATTTAATTATAATTTTTTTTAATATGATGTTTTTTGTAATACTGATTTAAAATATGCTTTTTAATAGAATAAATAAATGCATTAAAGATGGAATATAGCCTTTTTCATTCATTTATATATAAAAAATATTTTATGTTAACGAGTGTAACATGCACAAATATTTATTTTTTACATATTGTAATACATTATAAAAAACTATTCGAATAGAAGCATAAATTGCTTTGCGCAAATTTCAGCTGCACAATAGGTAGGCATATTTTTTTTTATAAGTTCGCTCCCTCTGATTATCCTGTGCAATGCTGCGTTGTGAAAAAATACGAAAAAGACTGATAGGCGGATTTTGAAAGATTGCTAACACACGTGGAATGCGGAATTATAAGTTTGTCGTGCGTTACACTTTTATTAAGGTTGCAATATATGTGAGAGAGATTTGTGGCTCATTGAACGGATACTCTGTGCAATAGAGGAAAACGTCCCGTGCACGAGGGAAAAAAAATGACCGTAATTATGCGCTATAATTGAACGCAGATGGACAACCGATATTTTTCTCGATAATTCTGCAAATTATGTTTAATAGAGGAGGATGTTTTTTTGCTCGTTGCTAAATATTGATGTGACCTTGCATTGGTTTTCAAGCTGCAGGAAATTACCAATCCAATGAAGATCTTCAAATAATTGAAGATTTCCTTTGCTGCAGCTGATTAAGTAATTTTCGATAAAAGGTCATTTCATTTTACTCCGAGCAACAGTCTCTTCACCCTTCTGTTTGTACAGACACATGTTTATTATAATCTAGCTGTTTAATGATGTACTTTTATTTTTTAATATAGAGTCTTTATTCTTTTTATTTCACATGAATTTATTTACTTTCAGATACTGAAGTAAAATGCCGTAGAAGAAATTTCACACGGTTTGCATACCAATTCAAGAGAATAAGAAGAAAGTCTTGTTTCTCTCGGCAGCCCTTAAAAATAACTTGGCGTTCTAAAGGCACGCCTAAGTGTGCCGTTGCGTAAATCATAGCTTTTCGTGTGTGTAAAATCGCCAGTGCGAGTGAAACAATGCCGCGCACGCTTAAGAGAACTTTTCTAAGCACGCACAATGTACGCCAGATCGTACCAGTGAGATACCGCGTGCGGAGAATACCGGGAGGATGCCTGTTGTAAAACGTGCCCAAACGCGCTCCGTTACGGCACCTCGAGAGAAACGGCCTTTTTTCGTTGTCTGATCTCGATCGCGGTATGAAACGCATATTGCGTATGCATTTCTTCCAGCTGTAGGAGTTGAGCAGTTCCTTTGGGCGAGTGCCGGTAAGATTTTTTCGACTACTCACCGGAATTTAAAAATGCTCCTTTGTTTAGCTTCGAATAGATATATTACTTTTTATTTATTTTATACAATCAAATGTATACATAGGAATTTATTAGATAAAACTATTTCGGATTTTTTTTTCTTTATTACTTTGATGATTTGTATTCAAAGGTGAAAGTTAATTCTTTCTGATCTAATAATATTCTTTTGGGTTATTAAAAGTCTTAATATTTGAATCTATTCTTATATACATTTGAAGTGCTTTCATTCATATCTAATGACTTAAAATTATGTCATCGACGCAACAATCTAAGAAAAACGTTTCTCATCTATTTTTGATCATGCTGTTATTTGTTTAAATATTGAAGACATTTTGTAACGCCGATTTATTAAGTAAATATAATAAATCAAATATAATTGAAATCATTTTGATTTATTTTATGTTTATGTAATAAATCGACATTACAAAATTTTTAATATTAATTTATTATAGATATGTATATCGTATATTTTAACTACTTATTCTATGAAATTTCCTGTCTAATTTCCTGATTAATACTGTAATTTGTTAATAATGCTTGAAGCTTTTATAAATACATGAAAATATGGAACTTGGATAAATATACATATATACAAGTGATTCAAATGATTGCATTCTTGTGTATTTATTTTACGATACTTATACTATTATTCATTACATCATAATGAAATTTATATATAATCCTTTTTTGTATATATAATTGTAATATATAAATATATATAATGTTCGAAATTGTAATATACAAATATATAATTATTTGAGCACCTACATCGTGCTAGGCTCTTTGCCATTATTTATTACTCTTATTGAAATTTATAATTCGTTGAGCCTTTGGAAAGTTAATTTTTAATTCGAAATTTTTATATAATCCTTTTTATTATCTTTAAATAAATATATTTCCTCTTGAGTTGGTGATCATAATGTTTAAAATATTCTTTCAAGGATGGAATTAAAAATATTTATAATGTTATTGGAAATATTAAAATTAGAAAATATTAATTTCTAGCTTATTGCAAGTACAAATAAAATTCTCTGGAATTTCTTTTTAAAAAACAAATAAAGATTATATATAAAATAAAGTTATTAACGTATTAACTATTAAGTAAGATAGTTCCCGATTGTTGTTACTTCCAAGTTGTTATTTCAAAATTATTGCAACGTTTATTTTAAACATCCGACACGATGAATAATGGATATCCTTTCAAAGGGCTTCTTCCGAGAACACGAAAATGCAATGTCGTGCTGGTAGCGCGATAGCGTTCTAATTAATGGCCTGTACATCTGAAATTTATTCCACCTCTCCGCGGTATTCCAACGAACTCCGATTTTTAATTAAATCCCTCTCGACAGGCATATGTGCATTAAACCACCGCGTCGCGCTGGTCCGGCTCGCCACGTGAATAAACGTTTGTTGTGTTAAATTCCGCGAGATGCGTGATGCATCGCGCATATGTATATGAATATTTAGCCGCACGTATACACGCGCTCTCGTATATTACGCGTGTCTACGCAGTGGCTTAAGGGCATTCGGGGCATTCCCTTCCTGGATGAATGCAAGATTAATTTATTCCTTGTAAGCAACTCCCGACGAACGCAATAACTAATATTTTTTGGTAGTGTTTTTTTTCAATCGTTTAAATATTTCCTGCGCGTTTCTCTGTTGAAGCAAAGGAGGATGTTAAGTTAGAGCTGTTTTTCAGTCAAAATGAAAAAATAGTCTTTTTTTTTTAATTAAAAATCTGTTATAAATAACGACTGTCGATTCGTAAATTTCGATAAACCTATTATATAAACATTGAATTTTTCATTATTAATTTGTAACTTTAATTTGTTTTTTAAGATTGTATTTGTTTTTTTAAGATTTTTCTTTTATGCAGTCTTTACTGCATACTGGATACCTATCATCTATTTATTCTAATTGATTTAATTTTCAGAAAGCGATTTCAACGAAAAATATGTGCTTTCATGTTAAATTTATTTGAAATTTTACAGTATATGTAACGAGAACTATATATGTTAAAGTTTAAGCTTTAAGCGGGTTCTGGATACATACGAGCCATTCTAAATTTGAGAAACGCACAAATCCAGCTCCCGAAAAAGAATTCAGCGTATCAATCATGAAACTTTATCCCTAGGATGGAAAGTGAAAAGTGAAAATTTTGACCATTAAAGTTAATGGAGAAATTTTTCACTTTTCACTTTTCATCTTAGGAAAAAAATTTTATGATCGATACCCAGTTTTTAGGCCCTTATATAGTAGCGTTTATATAAGGTAAAGGGATTATGGAATAGTGTTTTTTAAATTAACATTACGATATAAATGCATATGAAGACTTTAAATTTACACAAAACTCTTGAGGAATATGTTAGCTACAACATCCAATAAATGAAAGTTGCCAAAATTTAAGTCCAATGTCAATATTAACAAAAAAGTAAAAAATGAGAAAATGGGGGGTCTAAAAAATGGGATGTAATATGGAATATCGATGAAATTTTGATCATAGTAATAAATAACACAATAAATAAAGTCCAAATTTGTTTATTTATGTAAACTGATCAAGAAAAATAGGAAACTGTTCACATTTTTATTGTACAATAACACAGAAAATATAATAACATTATTGGACGTTATTACGCATGGACAATAAAGAATAAAATTAAATCTTGAATCAAATTAAATTATGACGTACAATAAATATTAGCATCTAAAATAAATATTATTCACAAGAAGAATCAAAAAGTTATATTCTCAACCCTCGATGTATTCCACATTACCTGTATGTCGTCATATGACAAACAAAGTCTTTCCGTAGCAATAAACAAGTTTAAAATAGCAATTAATCTGCATAATATTGTTCATGCAATATTATTAAAAGCGTCTATGTAATATAAGCATTAAAAAAACTTACCTTCAGTTTGTGAGAACACTTTTTAGAAAAAGCTGCCGGATCTCCTGACGTAACAAAAATGAATAAATGTTAATTGTCACAAAACGTTTGGTCGGACTGAGTTTATTGCTTATTATGACATGTTTGGTAGCAGTTGCAATAACTTTCAGCGATTGCCGTCAGATTGTAATGCTTTGTTTAAAAAAATAAGCCACTATTCCATATTAGTAGTCTATTCCATAATCCGGGGTTGGGAAAGTTACTTTGTAAAAATAACTAGTTACAATTACAGTTTTTTTTCTTTTAAAAGTAACTAATTACAGTTCCAAGTTACCGAGACTAAAAATTAACTCGTTACAATTACAGTTACTAAAAAAGTAACTTTTTAGTTACTTTTCGATTACTTTTCTGTTATCATGACAGAACAATATGAGTGACATCGATATCATTAGAGCTATCAAAGAAAAAATAATTTACGTTTACAATACAATTTTATTTAAAAATTCTTTTAATTTTGCGGGAATATGCGCGAGATAATTCAAATAATGGACGAAATAATAAAATACTCTCTCTGTGTTCCAAAATACAGAGTGTGTTCCTACAATGCTTGTATCATTTTATCCTTGTTGTTACAGATATTAAACAATGAAATGATACACGCTAGCGTTGCGGATGTTAAGTGGAACGCACCCTTAGCGCTACAAATGCTTCGAACCATTTGATTGACTAATCGAAAAATAGAATTTTACAAACTGACTAATCAAAAAATACTTCGAAGCATTTGTAGCATCAAGTAGACCGTAGTCTTAATCAGTATTCAGATTTTAACCAATCACGTTAAATTGACAAATAAGTTTAAAATGTAAAGTAACTGTAAAAGTAATTGTTAAATTAGTTACTAGTTATTGGACGAAATATAACTAAGTTAAGTTACAGTTATAGATGGAAAAAAGGAACTAAGTTAAGTTACTGAAAAAAACTACATTCAAAAAAGTGATCTTGGAATTATAGCGAAAATTGTCTAAGTACGAAAAAATAGTCAAAATAGATAAATTTCTAGCAAGTACTGCGATATTGGATATGTATTGCACCTAATCATATAGATGACAGAGATAGAATTTAGATTTGTGCTATAAATTCTATGCGTATGATACATAATTTTCTATCAGATACAAAAAACAGCTATAATTCTAGCTGGAGCAGCAAAATATTTTTTTGCGTGTAACTGTAACTGTAACTTAGTTGCAAGTAAATAATTAGTTTCCACCCCTGCCATAATCTCTGCTTTTATCCTCCCCCATCCAATAGCGGCGAACCACCGCGCTCATTGGCTGGCGCCAAGGATTGAGATAGCTTAGAGGGAAGATAGATTACCCCGGATCTACAATAGAGTTTTAAGCCTTAAGCCATAAGAAATAGACGAATCATAGTCGATTATTCTCCTCGAATTCGACTGTGATTGGTCAATTTCTTAAGACTTAAGGCTTAAAACACCTATTGTAGATCCGGAGTTAAGCCCAGTGTCCACGATGCTAGAAATCCGTCCGAGATCTCGGATGAAGAAAAAATTGACCAATCGCATTGATCATGTGACTAAATTGTTTAAATGTGATTGGTTAATTCTTTCTCTCTCCGAAATCTCGGACCAATTTCTAGCATCGTGGACACAAGGCTTTAGAGGCGCGAAATGGCGCTGTTTGAAACGCGCCGCATTTCAGATCGTACCCGCGCTTCGATCGATCAACGCGTCACGCTACGCCAATGGACTTGTCGCGTAACGGGGTTTGCGGCACGGTCCGCTGCCCGCGCACTCGAAACCCATCGTACTTCCTGTACCAACAGCTTTTTTTCTTCCGAAAAAACGACTGGGCTTAATTAAATCCCGACAGGCATACGCCATGCCCTCTCGGCGAGGAAGAACGAGCATCAAGGTTGTTACAAATCCCATTTACCGCAGTTGCGCCATCGCGAATCGATGCAACGCGCCGAAAAACACGGAAAAGTAATTTCTTCCCCCATTATTTTTTAAAATAATGACTTAGTAAACACTTTTCTTTGTTCTCTTAATTTAACATTTCTGAATTAATTACTACGCGAAACTTACAATTGGTATTTATACGAAATTTGGAAATCCTATTGTTATGAATTGTTCGAATTTGCGTACATCTCGTAGAATCTTTTATCTCTCTATCTGATTGTTGTACTTTTTGTGACACACAATTTAAAAAAGCGATAATATAATATAATATGGAAAAAAGTGTGTTACCCAGTAAATGAGAATAGATTGAAATGGATTGATATTTTCAAAAATACGGATTCAGGAATGATAAAATGAATATACTTTTCAATCTTGAATGCATTTTTATTCATTTATACAAATTGCATGAAGCGAATGTCTATGTCTTTTCAATCCTAAATGCATTTTTATTCATTTATAAGAATTACATGGAGCATATCTCTATGCCTTCCAATCTAAAAAATATCAGCTTTTTCTGTGCATTGTGAATACTGTTCAATTCAAAATTTTGAATAGGAAATGCAGTTTTTCAACTCAATTGCATCCAATTGAATCTAATTAAATCCAATTGAATAAAAAAGAAAGTTTTCGCTATTTAAAATACGCATTCGGATAGACAAAATTTCAATTTATTTTAATCTATTTTCGTTTATTGGGTAAACTACAGGCGCGAGTTTGCGTAGCAGTATGAAGCAAACGGCGAAGTGGAAAGCGCGTGTCCCCATGAATGAAATTGGCTGCGGATCGCGGGACCACGTGACGCACGCGCAGTGGTGCAGGGAGAAGGGGGTGAGCGGTAGTGAGTGCGCGACTCACGTGAAGATAGTTTCGCGGTTCTATGCGCGCGCGACTGCTTCGGTGAACGTTCGGGAGATGTCGCGACACTCGCGGCTGCTCGCGTGGCGGTTGGCTTGAAACACCTGACTGTAGTGACTGTGGCGTAGCAGTGCGGCATGGGCTGGTGTGGCGGGTGCACACTTCTTTCAAAACAGGTAGCACGCGCTACCGGCTGACAACATTCACGATTTCCCATTCTTTTCCTTCCTCTCTTCCTTCCTTCCTCCCTCCCTTCCACCCACCCACCCTCTTTCTTATCCTGTCTGCATCCTCGTCGAAGTGTAACAGTGGCGATCACGTGACACTCCCGCGATATTTACGCGGCGCAGCGTGGCTAAGTTCACATGGAGTACCGTCGCGGAACGACGACGTCGACAACATTCGCAAAATCGTTTCGAAGTCGTCGTTCCCGTCGTCGTTTCGAGGACTGCCCGTTCGGCTGCGAGTTCCTCGGGTAGAACGCGTGCGTGCGCAGTGAAAAAACGCCCGGCGTCTTCCGAATTCGCGAGATCGGAGTAAAAGAAACATGTGACCGGTGGGGTGAAGACCGAGTGCGGAAGAGTGCGTTGGAACGTGTGCGTTTGCCGAAAAATGACGCTCGTCATCGGCCGGACATCGGTGAGGACGGTGTTGCTGACGTCGTTGCTGCCGATTTCTGTAGTGTTGGTAGTGCTGGCGCGCGCCGGGGATGTCGCGACCTTGGAGTACGGCGTGGAACCCCTTCCGGCATCCAGGGAGCAGCGGCCGCGTCCGGATACAGGTGAGTCAATTGAGTTTTAGAATTCCGCTTTAATTCGCTCTCGGCGAAATCACTGTCGAGATATTAATCAGCTCTCGATTGTTTCTATGAGAGAATAATACATCCTAATTTCATTGTAAATATAAAGGGACTGAAACACATGAGAAAAGTATATAGGCATAACATGAAAGCGCGAGAATAACTTTCATACACTGTTTTCTTTTTCTATGTTTTAAGTTTTTTTTTAATTTTGCGAGCGTCTTTGCATTTGTAATTTTTTAATCATGCTTGTAATAATTTATTCTGACAACATACATAAATAATTAGATTCGTTAATATTTATAATAGTTAAAAATTTCAATTTGTAACATTGATGAATGAAATAAAAAGGCGAATTTATTTATGAATATTAATTATGAAATTAATATATTAATTATAATATTAATATGTAATATATTAATAATATATTAGTATATTTTTTAAATGTTAATATATTAATATCATAAATACATTAATTATGATAATATCCAATTTCTTAAATGAATTCACGTTTCTATTTCATTCATCAATGCTGCAAATTAAGACTTTCAGCTATTTTACTAATGCACGAATGATAGAAAAGAACACATTTTGATTTTTTAATTGCATTATTATCGATCTATGCTTAATATGTATATTATACTTCTTATATATTTACATACTTTTAAATTTCAATTTTTATCTTGATTTCTTGTTGCTTCTCTGATAATCAATGATCGGCGGCTTG